AAGAGGGTGTTTCCCCCACTTTAGAAAGTATCCTAATTAAGACAGATAAGTCATGCAGCTTTTATTTGTCACAATTTTCCCTGTAGCTAGAATTAAATGATGCTGTCAAAGGGCAATGCTAGTATTTGATGGCTTTTAATATTTTTGTCCATATCAAAAGACTAAATAAATGCGATCGATATTCCCAATTCCTAACTCTGTAGTAATTATTCCAATAAAGACATATTCATGCTACCAAGCATCAATACATGTTCTTCATTGCCCTAATAAATCTGCTCCTAGAAAATAAACCATGTTCAGCTTGGGCTTTAGAGAGAATATTAGCAAACACCAAGCTCAGAATGTTATTAACCAAAGTCTTCAGCACATGGGGCTTACAAAATATGGATTTTTAAAACCGAAACACTTAATGAGAACTATCAAGAAAGAAGAATCATATCTGCAAAGGGGCTGCATATTATATTTAGGGTGGCTCCTTCAGCAAATAGCCCAAATGAGGATTTTTAAATAGCACTGGCTATTCAGGAGAACTCATTTTATAAATGGCCATCTCATAAAATAAAACAACTACAAAATAATAATATCAACTGTTATGAGTACTCCTTGCTGGCTGACTCTATTTTAAGATATTCAGAGATCCTCACAAGAACCCCATGAGTTAGATACTATTTTATTCTCATTGTATAAATGAGGAAACTGTGGCTTTGAGGAAACTGTGTTGTTAGGAGGCTGTCCAAGGCCAATACTCTGGGGTGGGAGAGTTACAATATTTATCAAATCCAGGTCTGTCTAACTCCAAAACCCATCCTTCTTATTACATATTTAAAAATCTATTTTATAAAGACCCACTATATATTTTCTACAAGATTTATTTATTTGAGAGAGAGAGAGTGAGACCACAGGGGAGGGGCAGAGGGAGAGGGCGAAGAAGAGAATCTCAAACTCCCTGCTAAGCCCGGAGCCTGTGAGGGGGCTCGATCTCACAACCCCGAGATCATGATCTGAGCTGAAACCAAGAGTCGGATGCTCCACCAACTAAGCCACCCAAGCACCCCCAAGACCCACGATATATTAAGACAAGTCATTAACAAGGCAGTGCCAACCTTCTTGTTTCAGTCTGAATAATTTCAGCATGCTACAAACCTTTGTGAGTTTCTGTTAGCTCAGTCTGCTAGATAATATAGATTAACTTTATTGACTATTAAATGGTTAGCAGTTTTACTTGGTAAAATCTTCCTTTAAGATTATATAAGAAAATAAGTCATAAATTTGTTCAACATCCTAGTCATTCAAGAAATATTTGTATCACTCACTTTCTTTCTCTCCCTATCTCTCCCATTCTCCCTCTCTCTCTATATATCCATCTCTCTCTATATAAATAGATATATTTAGGAATTCACATCCTGTTTGCAGATCCACTTGCACAAGAAATATTAACACAGGGAAGGACCTCAGCATGAAATTACTGGAACAGGCACTACTTTATCAGTGTTTAAAAGAGGGGGAAAATACTTTGAATTCAGGGGATCTAAGACAAATGGTATGAATATAAACTCATGTATAAATGGTAGAGTATAAACTCTGTCTTGGTGGATTCTTTACAATCCAGATATGTGAGGAGAGAAAAAAAAGATACTGTATAGACAACAGGAATTTATTTTCCATAGTTCTGGAGGCTGGGAAGTCCAAGATCAAGGTGCTGGTTGATCCAGTTTGCCAGTGAGGGATCTCTTCCTGGCTTGCAGATGGCTACCTTCCGGCTGTATACTCATATAGCAGAGAGAGAGAGAGAGACAGAGAGAGAGAAAGAGAGAGAGAGAACATCAAGTTTTCTGATGTCTTTTCTTCTACGGACACTTAACTCATCAGGAGAGCCTCACCTTCATAACCTCCCCTAAACCAAATTACCTCCTAAAGGCTCATTCCAAACACCATCACATTAGTAATTAGTGCTTCGATGTAGGAATTTTGGGAGAACACAGTTCAGTCCACAGAAGGTACATTATAACAAAACTCCAAGGCAGAAGTACTCAGTGACTCTTGGTAGGAGAATGACTAGACCAGCAGGGTAAAGATGGGAAGGTAAGTAGAGAAACACCCAGCACATCCAGATTAGCCATAACTTCCAGGCTAAGGAGTTCAACATTGCTATATAATTGAACTTGATGAAGTTGTTAACCAAAATTCATTTGGTGAGATATTATAGGATGTTTTAAGGAGAGAAGGAACAGAGAGATTTTGGATATAGGATGACTTGTCCCAATGTAAATGTGCCATAAATTACCTTACTGCATGACTCATTTTGTAAGAAACGTGATTCAAAATGGAGAAATGAGAGTCAAATGAGTACAGTATGACAATAAAAGATCTTAGAAAACTATGGATACAGGAAACAAACTATATATATCATAGGGCCTTTTTCTCAAGCAAGCATGTAGAAATGTATAACAGCTACCATGTATGGAAAGAAAAAAAATTTTTGGAGGATGGGAGAAAGGAGGCAATTAACTCAACAACTGTCAATCAGAGTTGGTTTTGAGAAATACTAAAATAGATGCATGACTTGTAAGGCAAAAAGCAGCTCCACTCCAATTTGCTGACCCAGCTTTTCTCAACTACAGTATTTACAAAAATGTTGGTTTAGAGCATTGTATTAAGAAGCACAGTGATCATAACCCATCTGCTTATCTTTTTTCTTACCTAAGACAGGAGGGAGAATACTTTTTTAAAATTAAATTTAAGTTCAATAATTAGAGAGTAGGCATTGAACATATAGAGGAGGAAACAAAAAAGCTAAATAAGAAAAATCCTCTTAATAAAAAAAGAAGTAGTAGTAGTTACAGGGAAATAGCAAAATCAAGTACTCTAAATGACTTACTTGCATTTTTCTGCTCTTTTACTCTAAATTTCATAACCTTAGTGAAGGTTAGAGTTTCCTAAACACAGTGTGCAAATGGCCCTTTGGAGTTCATATTATTTTGTTTTTTATTTTTTAATTTTTATTTAATGGAAGGCAGTCATTGATTTAATTCTGGTCAGGATCCACACCGGGGGCCCTGCCAGCCCCGTCCATGGTGGGTATATTTTACTTTTTAATTTATAAAACTGTCAGATTTATTAAAAGAGAATTCTTACCTCTTTCTCTTGAGTAAGTGGCTTAAAGGACAATGCATGTTAAGTCAGGAAAGAACAATCTATGTCCTTTGAGACTTTTTTAGCAAGCAAATAATTTTACTATTTAGAAACTCCCATTCTTAAAAGAAAGCACAGGTGAGTATTATGTATTTTTTCTAATTAAGAGCTTACAGGGGCGCCTGGGTGGCTCAGTTGTTAAGTGTCTGCCTTCGGCTCAGGTCATGATCCCAGGGTCCCAGGATGGAGCCCTACATCGGGCTCCCTGCTCCACAGGAAGCTTGCTTCTCCCTTTCACTCCCCCTGCTTGTGTTCCCTCTCGCACTGTCTCTCTCTCTGTCGAATAAATAAATAAATAATTTAAAAAAAAAAAAGAGCTTACATAGTTTTCTATATTCTCTTAAGGATTACTATAGCCCCATAATTCTTCTAAATTTTATCAGTTCCATAATTTTTCCTCTATCAAGGTTTTTTTTCATTTTATTTTCATATACATCTTATTTTTGCAATAATATTTTCATATGCACACTACTGACAAAAATAATGGATAGAAGCAGTTTTACTAAGTTTGTGCTGCTATATTTAGAAATAATGTAATATTCATCTTATGGCATATAATTCTTAACATATTATTGTAAGTATATTTAAATACAAATCAGTAATTTTGGCAGTGATCAGTTTAGTAATTCTGTTGTTTCAAATCCTCTTTCAACTTAGAAATTATATCCATCGTTTCTACCTCCTATTTGAAAGATTAGTGGCATCTCCATTAACCATAAGGTGAAAGTTCATTGCTATGCACAGATAACTTCCACGGCCATTTTTTTTTTCTTTTTTAAGATTTTATTTATTTATTTGAGAGAGAGAGAATGAGAGACAGAGAGCATGAGAGGGAGGAGGGTCAGAGGGAGAAGCAGACTCCCTGCCGAGCAGGGAGCCCGATGCGGGACTCGATCCCGGGACTCCAGGATCATGACCTGAGCCGAAGGCAGTCGCTCAACCAACTGAGCCACCCAGGCGCCCTCCATGGCCATTTTTGATAGCTTTTGGTTGGATCATCCCCCTATATATATATATATATATATATATATATTTTTTTTTTTTTTTTTTCCTTTCCTCTCCTATTCTGTCCTTTTCTCTCTTCCTTCTTTTCTGGAACCCTGTTAAAAAATATTCTTGCTACCACCCTTCTCGCCCATCAGATTCTGGTATCAGCATCTTTTCCTTAATTTACTTTGCAATAATCCAGTTAGTCTATAAATTGAATCCCTTAAAAATAAGGAATGTGATTCATTGAGTTGTATCCACCTGTCACCGGAAATTTTGGAACTTACTTAGTATTCAGTTTCTTGAATACTTGAGCACATTTTGAGTTTCATAGGTTTGTGGACCCGCTTGAGCAAAACAACTAATTATAACCTAGTTTCTATAGAGTTGCAAACAATTGCAGAGTGGAGCACTGGTTATTCACAAATTGGGAATTGCCTATATTGTTTTGAGAGACGCCGGTTCCCATTCGGGGCTCTTATGACAGGTACTCAATTCTAATGCTTTACTGAGATTAGAGGTGGGTTTAAACCGTACGGTTCTAAATGAAGCAGTTACAGCTTTTCACCTTGCTCACGTGTCTGTCTCAGGACTTACTATTTTATTATTATTATTTGCTTTGAGGCTGTCGTGTAAGGAGAAAGGTAACCACTGGTGGTTGCGCCGGATTGCAGGGCGAGGCCGGCTGGTTCCTGCAGTGCCCAGGCCTGCACGGAAGCGCCCAGCGCCCGGCAGAACCCAGCTGGGGATACACGCTTTTCCCTCCCTCTCTGCCAGAGGGCTGAGCAGCAAAGCGCTCCCCGGGGGCATTGTGTGTGAGCTGGCCGCAGATCGCAGGCCCAGGGGGCAGCTCCACCACAGGAGACAAGACACGCCTCAGACCGGGCAAATTCCCGGCCCCCTCTGGCCCCAAGCCAGCAGCCGCCGCCCGCCACCTCTTCTCCGCCTCCGCTGTGGCCCCGGCCGCCCTGCCGGGCCCCGAAGTCGTCCGCGCCTCGGCGCCGGCCCCTCGGCCCACGGCGCTGGCGGCGCGGTTGGGACAGGACCGATGTGGCGCATGCGTGGTGGCACCACCAGGCGCGGGAGCTGCGGCGGTGGGGACGGCGGTGGGGACAGCCGCGGGCAGGGCCGTCCCGGCCGGGCTCGTGGCGGTGGCGGCATCGGCGGCGGCGTGGGCTGGCGAGGCCGTGCGGGCGGCGCCCGACAGCAGCTGGAGGAGCGGTTCGCCGACCTGGCTGCGAGCCACCTGGAGGCCATCCGCGCGCGGGACGAGCGGGACCGGCAGAACGCGCGGCTGCGCGAAGAGAACGCCCGGCTGCGGCTCGAAAACCGGCGGCTGAAGCGCGAGAACCGCAGTCTCTTCCGTCAGGCTTTGCGGCTTCCCGGCGAGGCCGGCGACGGGGCGGCCGCAGAGGCGGCCAGGGCCACCCCGGGCCCCGAGGAGGCCAGCACGAACCGGAGGGCGAGAGGCAGCGGCCTCGAGGACGAGCCAGGCAGCCCCAGGGCCCTGAGGGCCCGGCTCGAGAAGCTGGAGGCCATGTACCGCCGGGCCCTGCTGCAGCTGCACCTCGAGCAGCGGGGGCCGCGCCCGCGTGGCGATAAGGACGAGCCGCCTTTGCGCGCACCCGACTCAGGCCTGCGCGCCCCGGACTCGGAGCCCTCCGAGCCCTGGCTGTAGCCCGAGGCGGCGGCCGGGGAGAGGCGGGGCCTCGCGCGGCCCCTCCTTCTCCGCGCGCCGCTCCCCCATCTAGCAAGGCCCTGGGCCCACCGCCGCAGGACTGGACCGCTGCGCCCTCCGCCTTCCATCCCGCACGTCCCAGGGGGGTTGGGGGTGGGGGGTCGGCTGAGGTTGAGAGCTTGCCGGGCCCTCTGGATCCGCCGCAGTGCGGGGCACCTGCCTCTTGCCCCTGCTGGTTTCCATGGGTTGAGGCCTAGAAACGGAGGGGCGGGTTTTACAACAGCAAGAAGTGGGTGCCAGTCAGCACTTCCTAATGCCTGAACTTTTCAGGGTGTTGTGAGGACCTCTTCTATTTTTTTTTTTTTCCTGTTTTGGTTCTTTGAGGAATGAATAATGCATTTTGAGTTGGTTGAATTTGTTGCTCATTCTTCAGTCCCCTAAAACCTCCAGCCATTCTCTCTTACGTGGTCAACATACGCTTTTATGAGTCAGTGTTACTAAAGTACCACCTTTTTATTAAAAAGGTAATATTTATTACTTAGGAACGCTATGTCTGCTCCCTGCTCCAGTCCTTAAACATCTAATATATTGATTTGTTGACCCCCAGGAAATTTTTAAAATATCTGCCTATAAGTGATCCTTTAAATTGGTAAATAAATCTGATGCATTAAAAATAACCTAGAAACATCCCATGACTATTCTTTGAAGTGTCTGACATTTTTACACATGTTTAAGAAATATACATGACATGTATAAATTTTACATGTTTTATATTTGACTTCAGTTATTCTTTGTAAGCTACCATTTTCGCTTAATGTAAGTGATCGTTTTAAATAATTAGTCTAAATACTATTTCTTTATTTTTATTACATTTTAGGTATTAGAGCATAGTCAGTGCACAGCTACTTTGCCTTCTTTTGTTTAATAATTTTTAAGAAATTATGAATTATTTGTATATCAGAAGTATCCAAACAGTGATTTAAGTCTCAATTGTGGTTTCACTGGCAAAAAAAAAAAAAAAAGTGGTTGATTTCAGCAGCGAATGTTCTAAAATCACTTTTTTGCATTTTACTGAGTAGGCACTTTTGCCAACTAAGTAAAGAGGATACCATTGTACCTCATAAAAATCATGGGTATAATATAGTGTTTAAGTTATGGACAATATCAGTTGAAGAAAAAAATATAAGTTTTTGCTAGAGCTAGAAATTATTTCATAAGTTAGAGATTTTGTTTTATTTGTGACATATTCCAAAAGTTTCAAATATATTACATATATTACAAAAAAGGTACCAGGGAAAGTAGTTTTGTGATTTTTCTGTTTCTGGGCTGTTGTATTTTTTTTTTTTTAATATTTTATTTATTTATTTGACAGAGAGAGACAAAGCGAGAGAGGGAACACAAGCAGGGGGAGTGGGAGAGGGAGAAGCAGGCTTCCCGCTGAGCAGGGAGCCCGATGCGGGGCTCAATCCCAGGACCCTGGGATCATGACCTGAGCTGAAGGCAGACGCTTAATGACTGAGCCACCCAGGTGAACCTGTTCCTGGGTTTTGAAGACACCTTGTGCATTTTGCCTAAAGGTACTTGATATTTGGTTTTAAATACTTAAATCTTCCCCTCTGACCGAAAAATATAAGAAGAATCTTGGTGAGGATAATTAGGTATATGGAAAGTATTTCTATCAGCTTTACTTCATTTTCTAATAGTGAAAGAAAGAAAACAGTTTTAGGAGGCAGTAGGAATTGAAGAATAGGAAAAGAGCCTATCAGCCGTACTGCTACTTAACTGTAACTTTGGGTTTAAATTAGTTAATCTTTCCAAGCCTTAGTTTTCTCATCATTAAAATGAGCACAACCTCTACCTCAAAATATAAAAATTTTATTGAGATGTTATATGTAGAATGCCTGCATCAAAGTAAGTGGTCTATCAATGAGAATTACAATCTAAAATGTGAAAGTCATAAATGCATATTTTACTGACACTTTGCTTTCTGTATTTTGCTCCTATATGACTCTATATTAGCAGAGAAATATATTCTTTGAAGGAGTTGACATTTTTCACTCCTTATAAATAAATAGAGGAGGTAAAACCCTATATAATAAGGGAATAATGCATCAAAATTTGCCACATGTGTCAAAATTGGGAATCTTCAACAAGCAAGCAAAATACTTAGTTTACATAGTTTTTATGCACCTTTTGTCTTAAAATCATGTACAATGTAAGTATGTGAGAAAAAAATTGTAAAGGAATGAGGCACACATACACAAAAGTGAGGACAACTTTTAAGTGTAATTCCTGAAAAACATTCTGAAACTAAAATGTCCCAGAAGATGGGTTAAGGCTAATATATTTCAACTTTGTTGAAATTCTCTGCTGATAACTGATAAAGCATCATGTAATAATATAAAAGATGTTTGTGATATCAAAATATATGCCTGTTAAAGAAGTGGGTAAAGTTGATTTTAGAAAAGTTTGATGTAGGATCTATTTTGATCTAAAATAAACCAAAACTTTAGATCATCATACCTTGACATTTTATTTTCATAATTTGTTGTTGTACAATGAAGAGGGCTTATAATTTATAGAAATGAGCAATAAAAATATGCCATGTTAGCAAACAAATTTAGTGAGAACAATTGGCATTTTTAAACACCATTTTCTATGGCTGCTATTCACAAAACCATACTTTATCTTTTCCTCTATAAAAACATATATATAAGTCAAAACAATATGGAATGAGTATGTATGTAGATCATAGAACAAGTTATCCTTGCTAAACTTCTTGAACATATTTATAATATTTATAACATATTAGAAGAATACTGGAAAACATTTTTTGTCTCATTTAGTCTTAGACGTAGGTTTGTCAGTTTAGGAGTATTGCCATGATGAAACTAATACCAAATTTTTAAATAAATTGAATGATCAGTACATACTAAATAATTACTAGCGTGATTTTGATGCCACTGCCAAAATATCATTCTCTGTTTCGCTAAAAGCAACAGATTTTCACTGAGAATTTGTCACAAAATCTTCATCTATGAATGACACAATTTATTAATCTTTCTGTTTAGCTATTAATCATTACAAATTCTCATTTTCTACTATAAACTTGCTTTTTTGAAATATATCTTATCCATCTGATATAGACAGTATATGCACATATTTATGCACTGGAAATAATGGACCAAGGAAGGACTAAGATAATAACCACTTCTGACTTTATAAGGATTAATCATGCTCAAATTTCAAATTTTAAGCTTAAATAAGATTTTCAACTCTCAATGATCAGAATTAAACTGCATTGTGTTTAGTGTATAGCAGATTTTGCTTGTAAAATTCATGTTGAGAATCTACTTTGTTCATCTACATGTTCAGAATCTAATCTTTGCTTATTTCATGATAACTTATTAGTAAGACAGTCCTTTTGTATACCCAAACTCTCAGACATCTGTCATGCTTTAGAGAAAATTTGAGAAGGGACAACAGTGAGTTTGTTGGTGCTTGATTCTTGTCCGAATGATAAGCATTCTACTAAAAAACTAAGCTCTTTGAAGGAGAAATGTGAACAACAATCTATCTCCTATTTCATACTTGGGACTGATAAAAGTTTTCCTTGGCCTTTCATTTTTCCAGGTCTCCTCACTTTATCTTTGATTTTAGAATTTTAAACATATAAACTATTGTATTTTTTAAAATTTATTTTTATTTTTTTTTAAATTTGTATTGTAAACTTAATGGATCTGCCTTTAGTTATGGTGAAAACTGTTGCTAAGAACCAAGAAATCCTACAATTCATTGACAATTAAAAACAGTGGAAAATTCCTTTTTCTCTGTTACAAAATATGTCTGATTCAGGGGCTTCAGGATGTCAGGAATCTTTGCTCCACATGGTCATCCAGGGTCTCAGAACCTGTTATAATGTTCCTCTGTCTTACACTGAGTCATTGTTTCATGTGCATGGTAGAAATAGGTTACTTCTAGATCCAGCTTTCAGCATAGGGTCAAGAGAAAGAAAACTTGGAAGAGCTTTGCCCAGATTTAAAAATAACATAAGTTCCCCTGGACACATTCTGTTCGAAAAACTTCATCATATTACCCATTTAACTTCAAAGGAGGCTGAGAAATATAGTCAAGCTGTAGAGCTTTTGCCTATAATTTCATTATTATAGAAGACTGAGAGAACAGATTTTAGTGGACAACCCCCTTAAAAGAGGCTGACATCTGCTTAAATTTTTTAAAGAACTTCTATATCCTGGTATAGCATTTTTGAAACTATGTAATTTAAAATAGAAATATTGTGGGATTGCTTTATTGATTGAAAAAAGTCCAACCTTTTCATTCCCCTCTGTACCATCCTTACAGTGCAAAACAGAAGATATTGTTTGAAATAAGCAAGGAAATACAGCTATTACATTTTACATAGGATATCCTTATAAATTATGAATTATCCCCGAATAGTGTATATGTCATAAAAAAACACAGTTTTAAGAGCCTATACTTGGTAAACATTATTTCATATGTAAATCTAGATTTATAACTTGAGGGGGAAATGTTTCTGTTCATCTTGTTTCTTATATAATAGCATTCCACAACTTTTAGAGCTGAAAGATACCTTGGAAAGTTTCAGCCTAGCATCCTTCAGACTCTTTGTCAACAATTTAACAACTTGAGCAAGCTATGTACATATAGCACTCCATAACTTAGAGTAAGGGCATCACAATTCTAGGTAATATTATTCTCTCCTGTTTATGAATAAGGAAACTAATGAACAAAGACTATGAATAACTTTTCCAAGGTCAAAAAGAAAAATTTATTTAACAAATTTAATTGATATATAATTGACATATAACATTGCATTAGTTTTAGGACAAACATAATTGATGTATGTATGTATTGCAAAACGATAACAATAAGTTAACAACCACACGTAGCTACAATTTTTTTTCCTTGTGATGAGAACTTTTAAGATCTACTCTCAGGAACTTTCAGATCTACAATATAGTATTGTTAACTATAGTTACCCCACTGTACATTATATTCCAGGACTTATTCAAATAAGCTATTGTAATGGTTTTAATAAGAATGCTTCTGGCTTTCTCTATTAAGCATGATATGATTGTCCAGTAGTTCCCTAATTTTGCACTCTTTATCATGGCCATGGTTATACTTATTCCATAAGAAGATTTTGTTGTTTGCGTTGCAGTACAGTTTAAATAGCACTGGAGTTATATGTTCCTTTAAGTTTTTGTAAATTTTACGTGTGGGATTCTTGGGGACATATGGATAGATTATTTTGGGAAGGCAAGGTAGATATGTTGAAAATTTTGCCTACTTACTTGATGGAAATGTATCTCTTTACAAACACAGCCCAAGGAGACTAAAGGAAAATATTCCTTGGTCAGAAGAGAGGTTCTCCCTCTGACTTGCTAGACACAGAAAGAAAGCATAGAGTCCCATTTCCTTTGGCAGCTGTCATGCGATCATAAGAATGGCTGTACAGAGAGATGGAAGAAACCTCTTTCTTGATGTCATCATTGCTGCTCTGGTTGTCATGCCTGGGGTCTGTCCTACATATGGGAAATACATTTCCTTATTGTTTAAGGCAGTTTGAGTTGGGGCATTTAGAAAGTAGAGGTCACAATTGAATCCTATACAAGAATGAACATTACAGTGACAT